TATCCTCCTCCTCCTCCCCATGTCCATCCATTGGTCCTTCCTCACCCACAGCCAGCTCACTGAGCCTTCATCACCCTCCTCATCAGCCTTCCCCTTCCTCATCCTCGCAGGGACCCCAAAACCCTCATCATCATCATCATCATCCTCAGCCTCAGGCTCCCACAATTTCCTGTTCACGATGACAGGGACACAGATGGCCTTCCTCCCCCTCTTCCTCCTCCTCCTCCTTCACCTCCTTCTCCTCCTCCCCCTCCTTCCTCTTCCTCCTCCTCCTCCTCACTGCCTTGGCAAGGTGGGACAGCCTTCATCCTCCCCCTCCTCCTCTCCCTCTTCCTCCTCCTCCTGTTTCTCACCCTCCTCCTCCTCCCCAGCTGCTCTCGGGTGCTTCAGCCTGGCCTTCCTCCCCCTCCTCCTCCTCCCTGTCACCGCCTCTTCCTCCTTCTCCTCCTCCTCCTCGCTGCCTTGGGAACCTGGAGCAGCCTTCCTCCCCCTCTTCCTCTTCCTCCTCCCCCCTACACCAGGCCCAGGTTGAGTCTGGGGGGCCCTGTGGGGTCACGGATGGTTTTGGGTGGTTTTTGGTGGTTTTTGGTGTTTCTTGATGGTTTTGGGGTGTGTTCTGGAGATTTTGGGGTGTGTTCAGGCCGTTTTGTGCTATTTTGGGGTGGTTTGGAGTGTGTTTGGGGTTTGTTGGGTGGTTGTGGGTGTTTTGTGGTGGTTTTGGGATGTTTGGGTGGTTTTGGGGTGTTCTGCGATGGTTTTTGGTGTGTTTGGCATTTTTTGGGGTGTGTTTGGCATTTTTGGGGTGTGTTTGGTGTTTTTTGGGGTGTGTTTGGCTGTTTTGGGGTGTGTTTGGCTGTTTTAGGATGGTTTGGTGTTTTTCGGGATGGTTTTGGCTGTTTTGAATGGGTTTGGGTGGTTTTTGTATATTTTTGGATGTATTTTGGGTGTGTTTGTGCACCCTGAGCCCTCATCCAAGGCCGTTTTGGGAGGGGGGGGGGTGACAAGAGGGACCCGCAGACATTGGGGGGGTCCTGATGGTCCCACAGCCCCTCCCCCAAATTCAGATGTTCCCCCCCAGCTCTCAGACCCCTCCCCATTCCTCAGAATCCCCATGGGATGTCAGGGACCCCCCAAATTCAGAATTCCCCATAAACCCTGGGGTCCCCCCCACCAAATATCCCAGTTCACCCCCAAACTCCTGGGTCCCTCCTGGAGTCCCCAAATTCCAGGGGGTCCCCCGGCACTCAGCGACCCCAAATCCCCCAACCCCCTGATCTCCCCCCAGATCTGGCTCCCCTTTTCTTGCCCCCCTGACCGCCCATTTTTTTCTCTCCCCCCCACAGCGGGCACCACGTACATTTTCGGCAAGGGGGGGGCCCTGATCACCTACACGTGGCCCCCCAATGACCGGCCCAGCACCCGCGCTGACCGCCTGGCCCTGGGCTTCAGCACCCGGCAGCGCGACGCGGTGCTGCTGCGCGTGGAGAGCGCGGCCGGCCTCGGCGACTTCCTGCAGCTCCACATTGTAAGGGAGGGTCAGAAATTGGGGTACGGGGGTGCTGGGGGGGGCTGGGGGTACACAGGGGTTTAGGGGTCTGGGGGTTTAGGGGGGTTTAGGGGGGTCTGGGGGTGCTGCTGTGCATGGAGAGCGCAGCCAGGCTCGGCGACTTCCTGCAGCTCCACATTGTAAGGGAGGGCTCAGAAATTGGGGTCTGGGGGTGCTGGGGGGCTGGGGATCTCCAGGAAATCTCCAGGGGTTCCTGGACTTGGTGATTTCCTGCAGTTCTGCATCATAAATGAGGGGTTGGGGGGATTCATGGGGGTCCTGGGGGGGGTTTGCGGGACTCCTGGTCAAGGCCGGGTTTGGTGACTTCCCGCAGCTCCACAGCATCAGAGGGGACAAAATTGGGGTGCAGGGGGGTTAATGGGGGGCTCCAGGGGGGCTTCCTGCTAAAGGCTGGATTTGGTGACATCCTGAAGCTCTGCAGGAGGGGAAAAAATTGGGGTCTGGGGGTCCTGGGGGGGTTTGGGGGGTGCTGTATGGGTTCTTGTTAAAAGCCAAATTTGACGATTTTTTGCATTGTAACAGGGGCCAAAATTGGGGTGCAGGGCGTTTAATGGGGGTCCTATGGGGCTTCCTGCTAAAGGCTGGATTTGGTGACATCCTGAAGCGCTGCAGGAAGGGAAAAATTTGGGTCTGGGGGTCCTGAGGAGGTTTGGGGGTCTGGGGAGGGGGGGGGGCTCTGTGGGTTCCTGTCAAAAGCCAAATTTGGCGATTTTTTGCCTCATAAGAGCAGCCAAAATTGGGGTGCAGGGGGAATTGGGGGAGGCGGGACCGGCACCCACCGGTGCCCCCCGTGCCCACCCTGCAGGTTCAGGGGGCCGTGGGGGTCCTGTTCAACGTGGGCACCGAGGACATCGCGCTGGAGGAGCGGGGGGCGGCCGTCAGCGATGGGCGCTTCCACGTCGTCCGCTTCACGCGCAGCGGCGGCAACGCCACGCTCCAGGTGGACGGCGGCCCCCTGCACGAGCGCTACCCGCCAGGTACCCCCCGCCGCGCCCCGGGCACCCCAGGGCCCCCAGAGACACCCCCAGGGATGGCCCAGGTGTTCCCCAGGGCTCCTACAGACACTGCAGGTGTCACCCAGGTACCTCCCAGGTACCCCCAGGTACCCCAAGGTCTCTTACAGAACCCTACAGGTGTTCCCCAGATACCCCCAGGTCTGTTACGGATCCTACAGGTGTTCCCCAGGGCTCCTACAGACACTACAGGCGTTCCCCAGGTACCCCTCAGGTACCCTCCAGGGCTCCTACAGACCCTACAGGTGTTCCCAGGTGTTCCCCAGGGCTCCTACAGACACTACAGGTGTTCCCCAGGTACCCCCAGGTACCCCTCAGGTGCTCTCCAGGGCTCTTACAGACCCCACAGGTACCTCCCAGGTACCCCCAAGGCTCTTACAGACCCCACAGGTATCCCTGAGGTACCCCCAGGTATGTTACAGATCCTACAGGTGTTCCCCAGGTGTTCCCCAGGGCTCCTACAGACCCCGCAGGTACCCCCAGGTATCCCCCAGGTACCCCCAGGTACCACTCAGGGCTCCCCCAGACACCCAAGGGACACCCCAGGTGCTTGGGGACACCCCAATGGCACCTTGAGTCACCACAGGGACACCCCTGGGACACCCCTATGGCACCTGTAGGGACCCCCAGGGCACCCCCAGGGCACCCCCAGAGCCCCCCAAGCCCCCCCAACGGCACCTTCGGACACCCCGGGGTCACCCCAGGTGCTTGGGGACACCCCAGGGCCCCCCCTAACGAGGGCACTAACGAGGCAGCGCTAACGAGGGGTCCCACGGCCACACCCCCCCGCCCCTCCCCCGCTAATGCCCCCCTAAAGGCCACATAAACCCCCCCAGGGCCACCCCCACCCCGGTGACACCACGGCCAGGGCTGGGGACATCAGCAGGGGCGTCACGGCTGTGGGGACACCGATGGTCACACCGTGGTCACGACGTGGTGGCACCACCGGTGACATCTGTGGTGGCATTAAAGGTGGCATGGAGGTTGTGACACCGTCCCACCATGGTGGTACTGGTGGTGGCACTGGTGGTGACACTGATGGTCACACTGTGGTCACAGCATGGTGGCACCACCAGTGACATCTGTGGTGGCACTAAAGATGACATGATGGTTGTGCCACCGTTACTGTGGTAACATTCATGGTGACACCATGGTCCCATCATGGTTGACACTGATGGTGACACCGATGGCGCCACCAGTGATGAGGTCATGGTCACATCATGGTGACATTGATGGTGACACCAGTGGTGCTACTAATGATGATACTGTGGTCCCACCATGGTGACATTGACGGTGACACCAATGGCAAGGCCATGGTCCCACAGTGGTGACACCAATGATGCCTCTTAGACTACGGTCCCATCACGGTGACACCAACGATGTCACTAGCAATGAGACCATGGTCCCATCTTGGTGACAGTAATGATGCCACTAACAATGAGACCACGGTCCCATCTTGGTGACATTGATGGTGACACCAGTGATGCCACTAACAGTGAGATCGTGGTCCCACCATGGTGACACTGATGGTGACATCAATGACAAGGCCACAGTCCCACTATGGTGACACCAGGAGTGCCACTAACTGGTCACTAACTGATGACACCACAGTCCCATCTTGGTGACACTAAAAATGCTGCTGAGACCATTGTCCCATCTTGGTGACACTAATGATGCCATTGGGAACATGGTCCCATCATGGTGGCACCAACGATGCTGCTGAGACCACGGTGCCATCTTGGTGACACTAAAAATGCCACTAAGACCATGGTACCATCTTGGTGGTACCGATCATGCCACTAACAATGAGACCACGGTCCCATCTTGGTGGCACCAACGATGCTGTTCAGACCATTGTCCCATCTTGGTGACATTAATGATGCCATTGGGAACATGGTCCCATCATGGTGACATCGATGGTGACACCAACGATTCCACTAACAATGACACCACGGTCCCATCTTAGTGACACCAACGATGCCATTGAGACCATGGTCCCATCATGGCGACATTGATGGTGACACCAAGAGTGCCACTAACTGATCACTAAATGATGAGACCACGGTCCCATCTTGGTGACACCAACAATGCCATTGAGACCACGGTCCCATCATGATGACACCAAGAGTGCCACTAACAATGGGACCACAGTCCCATCATGGTGACATTGATGGTGACACCAATGACAAGACCACAGTCCCATCATGGTGACATTGATGGTAACACCAAGAGTGCCACTAACTGGTCACTAACTGATGACACCATGGTGAACTCTTGGTGACACCAACGATGCCATTGAGACCACAGACCCCTCATGGGTCACCAATGATGCCACTGACAATGAGACCATGGTCCCGTCATGGTGACACCAACGATGCCATTGAGACCACGGTCCCATCTTGGTGACATTTATGATCACACCAAGAGTGCCACCAACTGATGACACCACGGTCCCATCCTGGTGGCACCAACGACGCCGCTGACACCACGGTCCCACCGCAGCGCTGCCGCCGTTGCTGATGCCTCAGTGCCACCATTGCGTGACACGGTGACACGGCCATGACGCCGCCGCCGATGCCGCCGCCGGTGCCACCCCGTGCCGGTGTCCCCGTGCCCTGCCCCGTGTCCCCGTAACGCTCTTCTCCTCCCTCCGAAGGCAGCGGGGACAGCGAGCGGCTGGCGCTGGCGCGGCAGCGCATCCCCTTCCGCCTGGGGCGGGTGGTCGATGAGTGGCTGCTCGACAAAGGTAACGGCAGCGAGCGCCCCCCACACCTGGGCACCCCCCACACCTGGGCACCGCCCCCCACACGCCTGGGCGCTCCCCACACCTGGGCACACCCGCTTGTGGCCGGCACCCAGGGATTTTTTTGGGGTCCCAGGTGTCTGGAAGCCGCTGAATTTGGGGAGTGTCTGGGATCTCCCCCAACACCTGGAGGCGCCCACACCTGGGCACCGCCACACCTGAGAACTCAGGTGTGTGGGACCCACCTGTTTGGGGTCTCGGGTGTTCGGGGATCCCGGCGTTTGGGACCCCGATATTTGGGGGTCGCAGCACCTGGGCCCCACAGGTGTCCAGGAGCCACAGGTCCCGGAGGACCCCGTTGTCCAGGGACCCCTCCCAGGTGTCCGGGGATGGAGCCCAGGTGTTGGGGGGAGGGGCCAGCCCCTGCCCCGCCCCCTCATTACCTGGTTAAAGGGATGCTAACGCACCTAACGGCCCCCCTAAACCGCGCTGAGCCCAGAGCCCCCCTAAAGCCGCATAAACCCGCTAAACCCCCTAACCCGCACCTGCCCCGCACTGCCCGGGGCCGGGGCTGCGCCAGGTGTGCGCAGGACAGGTGTGCACAGGACAGGTGTGCACCACGGCTGGGGCGTGCGCCAGGTGTGCACAGGACAGGTGTGCACCAGGTGTGTGCCAGGTGTGTGCCATGGCTGGAACGTGCACCAGGTGTGCACCAGGTGTATGCCAGGTGTGCACAGGACAGGTGTGCATGAGGGCAGGTGTGCACCAAGTGTGCACAAGGACAGGTGCGCACAAGGACAGGTGCACACCAGAGCAGGTGTTCACCAGGTGTGCACCAGTTGTGCAGCAAGGCCAGGTGTGTGTGAGGAAGGCGCACAGGTGTGTCCAGGTGTGCACAGGAGCCGCCCCAGCCTCGCACGCCCCGGCCCCGCCCCGGCAGGGCCCCTGCCCCTCCCCCCCCGCCCCAAATGACCCAAAATTGGCCGAATTGAGCCCGAGCGGAGCCGGGGGCCGGGGGGGCGTTGGGGTCCCTTTAACTGCCCGGGGGGGAGGGGGGTGGGGGTGGGGGGGGGGCGGGGCAGCTCCTCGTGCCAGGCACACCCAGGTGTGCCCAGGTGTGGGGGCGGGGGGCGGTGGGGGGTGGGAGTGGCAGGGTGAGGCAGGTGGGGCAGCGTGGGGGCGTGCCAGGTGTGGGGGTGTGCCAGGTGTGGGAAAGGCTGTGCCAGGTGTGGGGTGAGACCATGCCAGGTGTGCCAGGTGTGGGGATAAGGCTGTGCCAGGTGTGCCAGGTGTGGGATAAGGCCATGCCAGGTGTGCCAGGTGTGCCAGGTGTGGGGTAAGGCCATGCCAGGTGTGCCAGGTGTAAGATAAGGCTCTGCCAGGTGTGCCAGGTGTGGGGATTAGGCAGTGCCAGGTGTGCAGCTGCCCTGTCCATCCATGGGACAGTGTCAGGCTGACAGTGCCAGGATGAGCCAGGTGAGCCGGTACCAGGTGTGCCAGGTGTGCCAGGTGTACAAGCCCCCCTCTCCATTCATTGGGGGGGGGGGGGTGGCAGTGTCAGGGTGATGGCGTTGAGGTCACAGTGTTGGGGTGACAATGTCAGGGTAGCACAGGTAACACAGGTGAGCCGGGTGTGCCAGTACCAGGTGTGCCAGGTGTGCGAGCCCCCCCTCTCCCCCCCAGGCTGGCAGCTGCCCCTCTCCGCCAGCCAGGGGGATGTGTATGAGTGAGGTGACAAGGATGGGGTTGCAATGTCGGGGTAGCACAGGTGACACAGGTGACACAGGTGAGCTGGTACCAGGTGTGCCAGGTGTATGAGCCCCCCTCTCCCCCCCAGGCCAGCAGCTGCCCCTCTCCACCAGCCAGGGGGATGTGTATAGATGAGGTGACAATGACGGGGTGACATTTCTGGGGTAGCACAGGTGACACAGGTGAGCCGGTACCAGGCGTGCCAGGTGTGCGAGCCTCCGCTCTCCCCTCCAGGCCGGCAGCTGACCATCTTCAACAGCCAGGGGGATGTGAGTGGGGATGAGGTGACATTGCTGGGGTTACAATGTTAGGGTAGCACAGGTGGCACAGGTGACACAGGTGTGCCAATACCAGGTGTGCGAGCCCCCGCTCTCCCCCCCAGGCCGGCAGTTGACCATCTTCAACAGCCAGGGGGATGTTTGTGGGGGTAAGGTGACAATGACGGGGTGACATTTCTGGGGTAGCACAGGTGACACAGGTGACACAGGCGAGCCGGTACCAGGCGTGCCAGGTGTGCGAGCCCCCGCTCTCCCCCCCAGGCCGGCAGCTGACCATCTTCAACAGCCAGGCGCGCGTGCGGGTGGGGGGCCGGGACCGCGGCCGCCCCTTCCAGGGGCAGCTCTCGGGGCTCTACTACAACGGGCTGAAGCTGCTGGCGCTGGCGGCCGAGGGACACCCCCGCGTGCGGCTCGAGGGGGACCTGCGGCTCGTGGGGGACCCCCCGCCGCCCCCCGCGCCCCCCGGCGCCACCCCCCGCGCCCCCCGACATGGCCACCACCATCATGGAGACCACCACCACCATGGCCACGACCACCACCCGCCGCGGGCGCTCGCCCACCCTGCGCGACACCGTCGCCCAGGTAAATGGGGAGGGGGGGAACGGGGGTCTGGGGTCTGGATATGGTGGGTAGGGGGGTTTAGGGGAGGGGGCGGCACTGGGACAGGGAAATGGGGAGTGGGGGATTGGAGAGGGGATGGATTGAGGGAGGGTCCTACCAAGGATGGGGGATGAGGGGTAAAAGGGGGGAGGGTCTGCAGGGAATTTGGGGGAGCATTGGGGGGATCCCAAGGGTTGGATAGGGGAGGAGGGGCGCTGGGGGGGGGGGGGTCAGGTATGGGGGGTTGGATCCCGCACACCTGGGTGCGCTCAGGTGACCCCTGACACCCCTCCCTGTATCCTGGGGGGCTCTGGGGGGGGTTGGGGGGTTTGGGGGTCCCCAGGCTGGCACTGACCCCCCCCAATGTCCCCCCCCCTAGAACACGGACGATCTCCTGGTGGCCTCGGCCGAGTGTCCGAGCGATGACGAGGACCTGGAAGAGTGTGAGCCGGGCACAGGTGGGTGCTGCTCCGGGGCCCCGGGCACGCGCGTGTGGCACGGCCTGGCACGCGCGTGTGGCACGGCCGCAGAGCCCGGGGCTCTCCCCCAAACCCCCCCAGCGGAGGTGTGCACACGCACAGGTGTGGGGAGTGCACACACACAGGTGTGAGGAGTGCACACGCACAGGTGTGAGGAGTGCACACGCACAGGTGTGGGGAGTGCACACGCACAGGTGTGAGGAGTGCACGCGCACAGGTGTGAGGAGTGCACACGCACAGGTGTGAGGAGTGCACACACACAGGTGTGGGGAGTGCACACGCACAGGTGTGAGGGAGTGCACACACACAGGTGTAGGGGGATGCGGGTGTTGCACACACGTGTGAGCAAGGAACGTGCCAGGCTGCTCACGGCAGGGAACACGTGGGTACGGGAGCTGCTCATACACCTGAACAGGTGCACACACACACCTGGAAAGGTGCACACACACACCTGGACAGGTGCACACACACACCTGGAAAGGTGTGCACACAGACACACACACAGCTGCACAGGTGTGCACACACCTGAACTGTTCACACACACCTGTATAGGTGTGGACACACAAACACAGACACACCTGCACAGGTGTGCACACACCTGAACTGTTCACACACACCTGGACAGGTGCACACACATCTGAATTGTGCACACACACACCTGGATAGGTGCACACACATCTGAATTGTGCACACACACACCTGGACAGGAGCTGCTGACACACACACAGTCACAGGTGCGCACACACACCTGAGCTCACGCACACCTGAACTCACACACACACCTGAACTCACACACACCTGAACTCACACCTGCCCCACAAACTCAACCCCCCCACACACCAAGGTGCCCCCCTTTGCACACCCAGGTGCCCCCCTTTGCACACGCCCTCCCACCTGTGGCCCCGCCCCCCACCTGCACAGGTGTTCCCGCCCATTCCGAGCACACACCTGAGCCCAGGGGCGTGCAGGCCCCGCCCCCACCCCCTGCTTCCCCTGACGGACGGACACTCGGACATTTGGACATTCGGACACTCGGACACTCGGACAGACAGGGAGGATGCCCCGGTCTGGGGTCACCCCCATGTGACACCTGCGCTGTCACACCTGCGCTGTCACACCTGAGCTGTCACACCTGAGCTGCCACCAGGACCTCGGCGAGGACCCACCCCCAACCCCAGTGTCACACGGTGACACCCCCTGGACACCCCCATGTGTCACCTGGACACTGGAGACCCCCTCAGACACCTGGCACCCACAGGTGTCACCTGGACACCTGGATGTCCCCCACAGGTGTCCCCAGGACACTCTGGTCCCCCAAAACCCCGCTTGTGGGGGAGTGGTGGCAGCGGTCAGGGGAAAGGGGAGAGGAGCGGAGGACGGACAGATGGACATGGACGGACAATGGACGGACAGTGGACAGACAATGGATGGACAATGGATGGACAATTGACCATGGATGGATGATGGACAGTGGTCCGTGGATGGATGGATGGATGGATGGATGGATGGATGGATGGATGGACGGAGGGATGGATGGACAGAGGGATGGATGGATTCAGGGATGGATGGATTTAGGGATGGACAGATGGTTCATGGAAGGAAGGATGGATGGACAGATGGACAGATGGATGGATGGAATCAAAGACAGACGGACATATGGATGAGGATTGGATGGACACAGCTGGGTTTAGGGATGGATAAATGGACTCAAGGATGGATGGATTCAAGGATAGATGGACGGATGGATGGATGGAAGGACAGACAGAAGGATGGATGGATGGATGGATGGATGGATGGATGGATGGATGATGGATGGATGATGGATGGATTCAAGGATGGATGGATGGATGGATGGATGGATTCAGGGATGGATGGATTCAGGGATGGATGGATTCAAGGATGGATGGACGGATGATAGATGGAAGGACAGACAGAACGATGGATGGATGGATGGATGGATGGATAATGGATGGATGATGGATGGATTCAAGGATGGATGGATGGATGGATTCAGGGATGGATGGATTCAGGGATGGATGGACGGATGATGGATGGAAGGACAGACAGAAGGATGGATGGATGGATGGATGGATGGATGGATGGATGGATGGATTCAGGGATCCATGGATGGATTTAGAGATGGACAGATAGTTCATGGATGGATGGATGGATGGATGGATGGACAGATGGTTCATGGATGGATGGACGGATGGATGGATGTATTCAAAGATGGATTCAAGGATGGGTTCAAGGATCCATGGATGGATTTAGGGATGGACAGATGTTTCATGGATGGATGGATGGATGGATGAACAGATGTTTCATGGATGGATGGACGGATGGATGGACGGATGGATCCGAGGCTGGTGGCCAGTGGCCGGTGGCTGATGGCCGGGGGCCGGTGGCCAGTGGTGGCCGGCGGTGGCCGGGGCCGGCCGGGGCCGGGCGCTGGCGCCGCAGGGGTGGCCGCGGCACCTTCTCACCGAGTGTCTCTTCTCTTCTTTTCTTTTTGTTCTTTTTTTCTCTTTTTTCTCTTTCTCTCGTTTTTTGTGTGCTTTCCCTTCCTTCCTGCAATTTCTTTTTCCTCCACGCTAAAATCACCCGGCCCCATCCCGCGATGTAAGTTGACGGCAGCGCCGCGGTTTGCTCTTAAAAAAAAAAAAACAAAAAACCGAGAAAAAAAAAAAAAAAAAAAAAAGAAGTAGAGGAGGAATTAGCTAAAAAATGAAAAAAAAAAAAAAAAAAGAAAGAAATAAGTAACCTTAGAGCGGAGCTGGCGCGGAGGCGGCCGGAGGCGGCGGGGGGGGGTCGGGGGGCGCAGCGGGGCGCGGCGCCGGGGGCTGACGGGGGTCCCCCCGTCCCGTTTCTGTCTCCGCAGGCGGGGAGCTGGTGCTGCCGGCGTCCCCGGGCCCCCCCGCGCCCCCCGCCGCCCCCCGCGCCCCCCCGGGCTGCGGCCCCGACTGCGACGAGCCCTCGGGCTTCGCCTCGGGGGAGGCGGCGGACCCCGAGCCCGAGCCCGGCCACGCTCCCGGCCCCGAGCAGCCGCCGGCCGACGACGAGGACTTCGCGGGGCTGGGGGGCGGGGGGAGCCCCGAGGCCGCCGCCCCCCCGGCGGCCACGGCCGCGCCGCGCGGCGCCGGGACCGAGCCCACGGTGGCGGGAGCGGCTCCGCCCGGGCTGGTGCCGGCGGGCGAGCGGCACCCGCGGGAGGGCGGCGCGGGCGGCGGGGGGCGGCGCGGGGGGGGTTCGGCTCCTCCCGTGACCCGGCGCCCCCCCGTGCCCCCCACAGCCGCGCCCGGAGCGGTGGAGGTGGTGCGGGAGGCGGGCGGCACCACCGGCATGGTGGTGGGCATCGTGGCGGCCGCCGCGCTCTGCATCCTCATCCTCCTCTACGCCATGTACAAGTACCGCAACCGCGACGAGGGCTCCTACCAGGTGGACCAGAGCCGCCACTACATCGGGGCCGCCCCCGCCGCGCCCGGGGGGGGCCCGGGAGGGGCTCCCGGGGCCGCGTCCCCGACCCCGCCCGCCGGGACCCCCAAGGAGAAAGCGGCGGCCGCGCCCCCCAAGGCGCCGGGCAAAGCGCGGCGCAACAAGGACAAGGAGTATTACGTGTGAGGGGGGGGTCTCCACGCGTGTCCCCCCGACCCCCACCCGGTCCCCGCCGCCATTCCCGGGGGGTGTCACCCGCCCGACGCCCCCGACCCCGCCCGCCGCAGCGGGGGCGCCTCTGTGGTCTCTCTGTGTGTGTGTCCCCCCCCCCCTCGACCCCGCCGCGGGAACCGGGGGGCGGCGCGCGTGGGGGGGGGCGCGCGGGACCCCCCCGCGTGGGGCGTGGGACCCCCCCCCCCCTCAAACCGCTCCCCTTCCCAACCTCGGATCGGTTTTTTACCGCCCCCCTCCCCCCTTCCCCGGGTATTTCTTTGGGTTTATTTTTTAATTTCGAGAGCCCCGATTGGCGTCGGGACCCCCGCCCCCTCGGGGTCCTGCCGGGACCCCCCCAAAAGCCGCCCCGAATCCCTCCGAGCCCCCCCGGGCCGCCCCCCCCGCCGCGCACAGAGGAATACACGGTTCTATACTTCGTACAGCGGCTCCGCCTCTTCCTGCGCCGCCCCCGGGACCCCCCGAATCCACCGGGACCCCCCAAACTCCCCCCGGGGTGGGGGTCCCAGCCCTCCCCTCCGCCAGGGGGCGCCTCTCCCCCTATCCCGGGCCCCGCCCTCACAATGACGTCATCATAACGGCCCCGCCCCCTCCGCCCACCCGTGGCGCTTCCGCCCCGCGCGCGGGACCGGCGCGAGGAGCGCGCGGAGTCGTGACCCCACGGTGACCCCGCGGTGACCCCTCCGTGACCCCGTTCATGGACGGGGAGGGGGAGGCGGAGGGGGAGGGCGCGTCCGCCCCGCCGGGCGCCGCCGGTGAGTGGGCGGGGCCACGGGAGGGGGCGGGGCCGCGAGTCCGGGTGTGGGCGTGGCCGTGGGACCCCCGTGGGTGGGGGGCATGGGGCCGTGTGGGGTCCGTGAGACCCCCGGAGGAGCGTGGGACACTTTGGGGGGGGTGGTCTGGGGGAGGGCGTGGCCGTGGGACCCCCCCCCCCCCGTGCGTCCTTTGGGTGTGTCCCGGGGGTGTGTCAGTTTTGGGGAGGGGGTCCCGGGGGAGGTTTGGGGCTCCCGAGTGGGTTTGGGGTTCCCTGGGTGGGGGTCTCAGGTTCCGAGTGGGTTTGGGCTTTCCTGGGTGGGGGTCTCACGCCCCCCGGTGCCCCCAGCCCTGCCGGACGGGTCGGGGCTGTGTCAGTGCAGGGGTGGTTGTGGGGCGGTGTGGGGGTCCCGTTGGTTATGTGGGGGTACCGAGGGGGTCTGACGCCCCCCGGCGCCCCCAGCCCTGCTGTACCTGCCGGACGGGTCGGCGCTGCCGCTGCCGCTGGAGCCGCCCCCGGGCCCCACGGCCGCGGAGCTGCTGCGCCGCCTGCAGGGGGCGCTGCGCCTCCCGCCCGCCGCCAGCGACGCCCTCGCGCTGTGGTTGGGGTCGGAGCTGCTCGGTGAGGGGGGGCAGGGGGACATCGAGGGGACATGGGGGGACATTGGGGGGACATGGGGACATGGAGGGACATTGGGAAGGACAATGGGATATGGGCATTGGAGGGACATGGATATGGCGGGGTCACAGCTCACACTGTGGTTGGGGTCGGAGCTGCTCGGTGAGGGGGGGACATGGTGACATTTGGGGGGACATGGGGACACATGGGGACATTGGGGGACACGGGCACATTGGGAGACATTGGGAGGGACAGGAGTATATGGGCATTGGGGGGACATGGGCATGGCAGGGTCACAGCTCGCGCTGTGGTTGGGGTCAGAGCTGCTCGGTGAGAGGGGACAGGGGGACATTCGGGGGACAGGGGGACATGCGGACATAGGGACATGGGGGGACACGGGGACATTGGGGGGACATGGACATGGCAGGGTCACAGCTCGCACTGTGGTTGGGGTCGGAGCTGCTTGGTGAGGAGGGGACATTGGAGGGTCCCATGAGGGACAGACAGGAGGATCCCCCTGGAGGATGGGGTGGGGGGTCCCTGTGCCCGTGGGGGTCCCCATGGGGGTCTCCAGCCCTGTGTCCCCTCCAGAGGTGCAGCTGAAGCCGCGGCACCGCCCCCTGCGCCTGGTGCGGCACTGGCCGGAGCTGCTGCTGCGCTTCAGCCTCGGCTCGCCCGCGGCCATCGCCCAAGGTGAGGGGCTGGGGGGTCGCGGGGGGACCCTTTGGGGACAGGAGGGTCCCCTCGAGGGTCCCACTGACCCCCTGCCCCCCCAGATGAGCCGTGTCTGCAGCTGCGCAGGAACGTGTTCTTCCCCAAGAGCCGCGAGCTGGAGGTGAGGGGGGACAGGGGGGTCCCCAATGTGGGGGATCCATGGGAGGGGGACACGGGGGGGTTCAGGGAGGGCTCTGCGGTGGTTCGGGGGTCTCTCTGGGTGACCTGGGGGTGTCTGCGGGTCCCAGCTGCAGGAGGAGGAGCTGCTGCGGTTGCTCTATGAGGAGGCGCGGGAGCAGCTCAAGGGGGGGCGCTACCCCGTGGACCCCCCCGAGGCGGCCGAGCTGGGGGGGCTCAGCTGCCGCCTGCGCCTGGGGCCCTTCGAGCCCGGCCGGCACACGGAGCTCAGCCTGCGGTCAGCACCGGCGGGACCCTGCCCGCGGGACCCCTGCCCGTGGGACCCCCACCCGAGGGATCCCTGCCCATGGGACCCCTGCCCATGGAACCCCTGCCCATGGGACCCCTGCCCGTGGGACCCCCACCCGAGGGATCCCTGCCCATGGGACCCCTGCCCATGGAACCCCTGCCCATGGGACCCCTGCCCGTGGAACCCCTGCCCATGGAACCCCTGCCCATGGGACCCCTGCCCATGGGACCCCCACCCGAGGGAACCCCTGGGACTCCATTGAGGACCCCACCCAGGACCATTCCCGTGATTCCCCCACCTGGGACACGACCACCCACGGGATCCTGGGAGCCATACCTGGGGAACCCCCCCACATCTGGGACCCCCCCATGGGATCCCCTCCACCTGGGAGTCATACCTGGGGGACTTCCCACACCTGGGACCCACCCACGGGAACCCCTCTGGGACCTTCCCACCCCCCGGCCTCACCGCACCCACTGACCCCCATGTTCGGCCCGTGCCCCTCCCGGTCCTGGTGTGACCCCCCCTGACCCCAGGTGTCGCCCCCAGGCCGCTGCTGGGGGAGCTGCTGCCGCCGGGTCCTCCCGCCCGCTGGGGGGCGCTGTTCCGGCGCTCGCGCGAGCCGGGCCCCTCCCAGCGGCTCCTCGAGGCGTTTGCGCGTGCGCCGGGCCCCGAGGCGCCCCCTGCCGGATTGTACCGGGACTTCCTGCGGCGCTGCCACGCCCTGCCCGGCTACGGGTGAGGGGGGGGACCGGTTAGAGACCCCCGGGGGGACACCCCCCAATTAGAGACCCCCTAAAGGGACACCCCGAAAGGGACACCCCAAATGGGATACCTCAATGGGACACTCCCCAATTAGAGACCCCCAGGGAAAACCCCAAAAGGGACACCCCAATGGGACACCTCAAAGGGACACCCACACATGGGACACCCCAAAAGGGACATTTCAATGGGACCCCCCCAAAGGGACACCCCCTTATGGGACATCCCCCACTGATGCCCCCAGACCCTTAGGGACCCTCACCAAGCCCCCTCCCAGGGACCCCTGCAGAGCTCAGGGACACCCCCAGATTGAGGGGCACCCCCCCAAATCACCAGGGAACCCCAGAAGAGACCCCCATGCACCCGCCCTGTCCCCCAGAGACACCCAATGAGCCCCACAGACCCCCAGGGAGCTCTCCCAGAGACCCCCCAATATCTGAGCCCCACAGACCCCCCCCAGACCCACAGTGACCCCCCTAGGACTCTTTCTAGACCCCCAAGTCCCTCAGTATCCAGAATCTCCACCCAGCTTCTTGACCCAGGGCCCCATAAATTTGGGGGGGACCCAGAATTTGGGGTGACCCAGGTGTGTCCCCACCCCCTTTTCCAGGTGTGCCTTTTTCCCGGGAGCCATTGAGCGTCCGTCGGGGGGGCTGCTGGCCCGGGGGGGGCTGCGCCCCGTCAGCGTGGCCGTGGGGCTCGAGGGGGTCACCATCATTGACCCCCGCCAGAAGGTATCGGGGGGTCTGGGGGGGCTGGATGGGGGTCAGGGGGGTCTGGGGGAGCACGATGAGGGTCAGGGTGGCTCTGTGGGGGTCAGGGGGCTCTGTGTGTGACCCCCCCGTGCCCCCCCAGCACGTGCTGCTGTCCCTGACGTACCCCGAGCTGTGCTGGGAGCTGGTGGGGGCTGTGGGGCAGGACGGGGACCCCGCGGGGCAGGACGGGGACCCCACGGAGCCCCCCCAGCTGTGGCTGGAGTTCGATGGGGACCACGAGGGAGCGCCCGTGAACCGATTGCTGCGCGTGTTCTCCCCACAGGTGCGAGTGGGGGGCTCTGGGGGGGAATTTGGGGGGAGCAGGGGGAGGTTTGGGGGCGCTTTAGGGGGAAGCTGGGTGGGAGTCCCTAGGGGATCAGTTTGGGGGTCCTGGGAGGGTCGGTTTGGGGGTGTTTGGGGTTAATTTGGAGGCCCCAGGTGTGGGTTTGGGGGTCCTGGGATGATCCTAGGGGTGTTGGTTTGGGGATCCCTGGGGTGTGCTTGGGGTTCCCAAGGGGGACGGTTTGGGGGTCTCTGGGGTGGATTTTGGGGTCCCTGGGGGGGTTCCCAGAGGGGTTTGGGGGTTCCCTGGGGGGGTCCTGGAGGTGTTTGGGGCTCCGTGGAGGGGATTTGTGGGTCCCGCGGGGGTCTCTAGGGGAGCGTCCTGGACGGGAAGGTTGGGGGGTTCCCTGGGGGGGTCCTGGGGGGTTTTGGGGGTTCCGGGGGGGTCTCGCTCTGGTGCTGACAGCGCCCCCAGGCGGAGCTGATGAGCGCCCTCATCGAGTGCTGCATCGAGCTGGGCGGGGCGGCCCCGCCCCCCGAGGAACAGGCCCCGCCCCCCGCCGCTGCAGCGGCCACGCCCCCCGAGGCGGCCGGAGCGCGGGGCGCCCCCTTGCGGCGGCAGGAGAGCGTGACCCGGCCCCGCCTGCAGCGCCTCGCCACCATCGACTACGTGCGGGACGGTGCGACAGGCGACAGCGCGACATGGGGACAGCGGGGACATGGGAGGCATCGGGGACATGGGGGACAACCGGGACGTCGGGGACATTCGGGACATGGGGGGCATCCGGGACAGCGCGGACATGGGGGACATCCGGGACATGGGGGGCATTCGGGAAATGGGGGACAGCGAGACA